TTCTCTACATTTAGGGAAGACCCCGAGCTTGCCAGATGGCACTGAGGGCCTCACAGAACCAGGATCCGAAAGTGCTTGACGGCTCCAGCCGCGGGCAGCTTGGACAAGATGCCTTTAGGAGGGATCACTGGAGGCTCCGGGCTTGGCTGGGAAGGCTGCATCCACGGAGGGTGGTGCCGATTACGGGAGGAAAGGGGGTTGGCTGCTCCTACACAGAGTGAAGCCCTTTGGTCGCAGGTAGAGGCCCCGAGGGAGAGGGCTGCCCTGCCCCTGGGGCCACCAGACCCCACCGAAGCCTCCGAGCTGCTCTCCCTGTCTCCTCGCTCTGCCTCCACCCCGCGTCCCCTGTAAACCCTGCCCTCCCGCGAACGTCAGCACCCAGGCCTCCCCCGCGGCGGGTTGCCGCCTAATCAGGCCCTGGCCACTCCCCACCCATCTCCCACCCCTCTCCTCACTCACTCTTCCCCGACACCTGGGGGCCCCCACTTGGGGCGCCTGCCTGGCCGCTGCCCCGCACCCTCCCGGCAGACTGCGCTTCACTCAGGTCGCCGAGCAAACGTCCCTGTGTTCTTGAGTACCCCCCCGCCACTCCACCTGTATAAAATCGCAGCTCCCTGGTCACTTTCTATCTGCTGGCCCCGCAGTGATGCATTTCATTTTCTCTTACCACCACCTGACACCTTGTATTTTATCTGTTCGATGTTCACACGAAGCTCTGCTGCAGCAGAGACTGCGGGCCCCCTGCGGCTTTGACCCAGTGCCCAGGACCATGCCTGTGGGTGCTCAGCTATGGCACTGGTGGATGGATTCCCAAATGGATGAATGAATGAATGAATCAATCAATCAATGAATCAATGCTTTTTAAGAAAGACAGAGGTGAACTTCAGACTCAGAGCTAAGGCAGGACAAGAGTGTCTAGTATCATATGGCCCCAAGCAGAGATGGTGAAACACAGCCAGTGAGGTTTTTACTAAACACTAAAGACTTGATCACCATCAGAGTTGTACAGAACGGTGAGGGCCACAGAAAATGCCTGGGCTTTGGAAGAATCCTGGTGATTAGTTCACAAACAAAAGCAATGTGACAGAAAACAATTGGCTGAGAAAAAGTTTACAGAGGAAACAATTCAGCCCAAAGGACAATTTGGTCTACAAGTATACTCCACATTATTTATCAAAAATTGCCATTTTAATGCAGCATGAAGGTGAATTGCATCCTTTTGTGCCTTTTCAAGTATTTTGCTTATAAATTTCAGGATATTTAGTTTTATCCTGTGCTTTAAATTTCTAGTTAATTTTTTAGTTATCTATTTTCATTCTGTTTATTTGAAACATTTTCTTATCATAATTTGGCACGTGTATATGTATTTGCTTTTTTTGTTTGTTTGTTTTTGGTTTTTGGTTTTTTGAAATAGGGTCTCACTCTTTTGCCCAGGCTGGAGTGCAATAGCATGATCTTAGCTCACTGCAACCTCCACCTCCTGGGTTCAAGTGATTCCCCTGCCTCAGTCTCCCAAGTAGCTGGGACTAGAGGCACATGCCATCACACCCAGCTAATTTTTTTATTTTTAGTAAAGACAGGGTTTCGCCATGTTGGCCAGGCTGGTCTCAAACACCCGACCTCAGGTGATCTGCCCGCCTCAGTCTCCCAAAGTGCTGGGATTACAGGTGTGAGCCACCATGCCCGACTGGCACATACAGATGTAAACGTGCATAAAACATAAAGGTGCTGTTTAATGAGTTACTGTAAAGTGAGCACCCACAAAAACACAACTGGTGAACAGCCAGGATGACACTGGCCCCCAGGTACCCTTGAGTGTCCCTGACAACACCCTCGTTGGCACTGAAGGACACAGCCACCCCGCTGCTGGGGTGACCACGTCCTCTTCGCCTTTGTCCTGTTGCCTCCTAAGAACGCATCTCTAAGGCTGGGCTTTAGGTTTGCCTGTCTGAGAATATGACACAAACAAAATCTTGTTTTATATGTTTTGTGTCTGGCTTCTTTCACTCAACACTGACATTTGTTTTTGTTGTGTGGTTGCAGTACATTCCTTTTCATTACTGTACTGTGAGGTTTGTAACAGCCAAATGTTGAAAACAGTATAAATGCTAAAAAACAGGGGAGGCCAGGAGGCGGAGGTTGCGGTGAGCCGAGATCGCGCCACTGCACTCCAGCCTGGGTAACAAGAGCGAAACTCCGTCTCAGAAAAAAAAATTTAAAAATTAAAAAAAAATAGAGGAGGCCAGACGCAGTGGCTCACACCTGTAATCTCAGCACTTTGGGAGGCCGAGGCAGGCGGATCACTTGAGGTCAGGAGTTCCAGACTAGCCTGGCCAACATGGTGAAAACCTCATCTCTACTAAACATACAATAATTACTGGCCAACACGGTGAAACCCTCATCTCTACTAAACATACAATAATTACTGGCCAACACGGTGAAACCCTCATCTCTACTAAACATACAATAATTACTGGCCAACATGGTGAAATCTTCATCTCTACTAAACATACAATAATTAGCTAGGCGTGATGGCTGGTGCCTGTAATCCCAGCTACTCAGGAGGCTGAGGCAGGAGAGTCACTTGAACCCACAAGGTAGAGTTTGCAATGAGCCGAGATCATGCCATTGCACTCCAATGAACAGAGGACTGGTTTAATAAAGAATGAAAGTTTACAAAACAGAAATTACTCTGTAATCTTATTTTTGTTAAAAGGAGAGAAGGAAAAGGCAAGAACGAGAAAATGAAAGAGAAAGAATGAAAGAAAATGCATTCATAAGAGTGAATATAGAGAAAGTTCTGGAAAAATACTAAAGCATACAAAATATAAAGTAATTTTATATTTGTATAAAGTATATTTATACAAAATATAAAGTAATAGCTTACTTTATAAAAATCCTAAGCAGGGTGAGTAGTTCAAAGTTTTTATATCTATTTGAAATATGTGTGTGTGTGTGTGTGTGTGTGTGTGTGTAAAAGTGCATAAAGCATAAAGGGGCTGTTTAATGAGTTATTATAAAGTAAGCACCCACAAAAACACAACTGTGTGTATATATTATACATACACACACACGTGATATGTAGATACAGAGATAGATATAGATAGGTATAGATTGACTGAAGTTTCTGCTTTTCCTGCAAGGCTCACTCATTGTTTTTGTAATTCAAAACAAAATACTAAAAGGAATTTAAGCCATGAAAGAATAAACAAAGCAATAAAAACAATCAAAAGAGAGGGTTAGGAGTTTTAGGATTTTTTTCGTCTCCTCATTTATTTTCAGCCAATTATGTCTGCTATACTTGTCTGAAAACATTTTTTGGTGAATTTTTTATTTTTATAAATTGATTTTTAGAATGAATGTTTCCAACCACAGTTAACAGTTTCTGAGTTTTGCAAACACTGCTTAGTTAACCAAGACCTAGTTGTTAGTTACCTTAGCTTTTCGAATTCATTTTCACCCACTTTGTCTTGCCTTGCTCTGTTTATAATGGATGAACACAACCTAAATTCATTTTAATAAAATCTTTGTTTGTCCAAACTGTTCCAGCTGACAAAATTGAGTGCTTCAAAGTCAAGCCAGCTTAAATTCCAGTGTCAGTTCAGCCACTTACCATTTGCATAACATTGGACAAATTAACCTTTCCCAATCTCAATTTCCGATCTACTAAATGGGGATAAAACCTGCTTTATAGGAAATTGCCTAGCTGGATATGAGCTGGTCCTTGAGAAGTCAGGTGGTTTCTCTGTTTTGCCCCCACTTCCCCCTTTGACTGCTTCTTAAATCCAAATATACCATTGGCACATACATTTAAGTTGCAGAGATGGTTGTTCTTTCCTCCAAAAATATTAATAAACTTAAAACACACCTTTGAATTGAGTGCATTTTAGAACTGAAAAAAATGCAACCTTCCTGGTCTCCTGGAGTTTCCTCAAAGGCCATATGAGAGCGTCCACACTGGCCCCTGTCTTCTCCTCTGTCTCCGTTAGCTGACACCGGCAGGCTGGTCTTTGCCTCCCTGTTTTCTTCCCTGTCCTCCCTGTACCCCATATATTCCTGGAAAACATCCATACATTCATCTTTTAAGACTCAAAGATCTCTAGAGAGCTGTTCCTGACTCCTCGACATCCCACTCAGCACAGGACTGGGAGGAGCACAGCATGGGGTCAGTCTAAGCCCTGCCTGTCTCCCTCTCCCAGACTGTCCTAGAGAACCCGGCTCCCTTCACACTCTTCCCAGTGCAGGGAGAGGCTCTGCTAGGAGCTCCAAGAGATGGGAAGGGCACCACCTGTGCCTTGGAGAAGTCACCACAGTCCAGCTCAGAGTTGCACAGTTCAGGCTTAGGGGTTGCTGACCTACAATATCTGAGCAGTCAAAACTTGAGAGCCAATTGATTAGCCTCAGTGAAAAGCATAATAGCCAGGTGGAGTGGATGGTCACAGTAGCCCGACCAGTGTCTGCCCTCCTTGCTACCCAGCCAAGAGGCTTCCTTACCAGAGGTTGCTCGGCAACAGTGGACTCAGCTGCAGTGATTGATGTGCCAGGAATGTGGGCTGGCAGCAGCTCCTTAGTAGTGGAGGACCAGGTGGGCAGACCAAGTCACCTCTTCCCTCACATGGCCAAAGGACAGGACTCATGGCCTTCGGTCTGTGACTCCAGCTGCCCACTTGATGGACACATTGTGTCCTCGGATAAGGACACACCTTCACACTGGTCCTCAAGGCAAGCCCTGTACACCTGGGAGGCTTCTGCTCTCCTGCAGACAGCTGCACTCTGCTTCCTCATTTGTCTGTCTCATTTGCTGCCAGGGGCCACGAATGCCTGGCACTGGGTGGGTGATCTGAATAACTGGTTGCTTCCAGGCTTCTCTTCCATAGATGCATGAGTTAGCAATTTGGAAACTACTTTCTGGGCATTTTAGAACCAGGCAAATAAGTAACCTGGAGCCAGGTTTCTCATTAGTAAAGAAATAAGTTGCAAATATCAAGGGGAAGGTTATGATCCTTTTGCAGCTGGTAAGCGTGGTGATTGGGTGTTTGCGCACGTGTGACATGCCACCCTCTCACTTGTTGCAACATCGGCACATTAACCATGTGACGTGAGAAACAATAAATAAAGGGAAAGGTCAGACTAGGCCCTAGAGTGTGGGATTGGAATTGGAGGTATCAGCATGAACTCACATTTTAATATATAGAGAGAGGGAGAGATAGAAATATAGAGAAGTGTGCTCTATGGTTTTCTTCCTAGCTCTGACCACTGAGAGGTCCTAGGAGTGATGACATGCCAGTAGCAAGAAGCACACACACCTGACATCCAGATCCTTGTTTCTGAATATCAGATCCTGCTCAAAGGAACCAGGGCTCCTTGGAGAAATGGCTGATCTCAGGGCTGGTGCAGGGAAGGGAGAAGGTGAGCCTGGAACATCTTGTGCCAGAAAATAAGGAAGGGCTCCGTTGATGATGGGGACATTTCCCAAGGAGATATTTCCCAAGGAGACAGGAGCCAGTTTAAGGCTGCTCCCATGGCCAAATCGAAAACAATTTGAGCATCAAAATAAATAATGGGTGTAAATCCTTGAAAAATAAGAATCTCTGGGTCCACATGGTATAAATCAACCAATAAATGAATAGGGAAAACTCCTCTGTAGAGCTGAGTGCCAGCTAATAGGTATAGAAGGATAGAATTCATCCTGTAAGCCCGGCTACTTGGGAGACTGAGTCAGGAGGATCATTTGAGGCCATGAGTTTAAGACCAGCTATGGCAGAAAAGCAAGACCTTGTGAAGAAGAAAAAGAAGAAGAGAAGAAGGAAGAAGAAGAGGAGGAGGAGGAGGAGGAGGAGGAAGAGAGGGGGAGGGGGAGGGGGAGGAGGAGGCTCACCATCATTTGGTAACTATCACAGTGACAATTCAGGTAAGGATCATCATTAGATGCTGAGTCTAGTAGTGACAGTCTGATGAGAAACAGGGTATTTATATGGCTTCAGAATGTCTCCCCACAAGACGCTTACTCATGACGGTGGGTGGGGGGGGGTGCGAAAAATAGTTACAGAGTAGAAATCTGGCACACAGCACTTTGACCAAGTGATGAAAAAGTTGGCAGCTTGTGCCTCGTGATACAATGTACTGAGGACACACCAACACTTCCAGGTATTCCTGCCCAAAACACACAGCCCGAATCTAACCACAACTGAACATCAGATTCAGCCAAACTGAGGAACATTCTACAAAGTAACTGGCCAGGTATCCTCAAAACTGTCAGGGTCATGAAAACAAAGAGGAATTATTCAGTTTAAAGGAGATGAAAGAGACATGCCAACTAATTGCAATGTATAGCTGGATTCAATCCTAGACTAGAAAATAATTCGGGGCGAAAAATGTTCTTGTTGGGATAATTGGAAACACTGGACTAAGGTGTGAAGATCAGATAACAGTGGTTTTATATCAGTGAACTTCCTGATTTTGATAACTGCATCACGGTTATATAAGAGAGTGCCCTCGTTGTTGCTTTTTTCCCCTAGGAAATACACATTGAAGTATTTAGAGATAAAAGTGCATCCTATTTGCAGTTTTCAAAGGTTCATATACACAAAGATATAGAGAAAAAGAATGAGGCGAGAGAGATGATGAAGTTAATTGGTAAAATGTTAATGTTTGGGGAAACTGGGTGAAACATTTGGAAATTCTTTGTACTTCTCTCACAACTTGTCTGTTAGTCTGAAATTAAGACTTAAAGGTTGCTGGATAAAAGCGTAAAGAATTATCTAGCATGGTCTGGTGAACTAGCATGCATTCAGTTTGTGTGTTCATTAGAGAAGAAGGCAGCTTATAAGCGCCCCTTAACTGGAGGTATTAGAATGTTCTAGGCCAGGGATTTTCAGACTCTCCTATGCCCTGGAATCACTCAGGGATCTTGTTCACTGCAGATTCTGGCGCGGGTCTGGGTAGGGATGGAGGGTCTCAATTCCCAACAGGCTCCCAGGTGATGCTGATGCTGCCTTCATGCTGGTTCATGGATCACCCTTTGGGTAGCACAGGGGTAAGTGCCACGGGCATTTAGACCATGGGTTCCCAAGCCTGCTGCACTTTGGGACTACTGGAGGAGCTGATGGTCATTGGTCTCCTCTGGTGATTATCACGTGCTGTCTTCACAAAGACTAAACTTCACATTGATCCTGCTCCCTCCTTCCCATCATCGCAAAGGCAGACCCTGAGTCTAAGGACTGCCGTGGCGTCCAAACAGGGTCTCTGCTGCTGCTTTACTCCAACCCATACTCAGAAGCCAGATGAATCTTCCTGCTCCCCCATGGTTCAAATGTGCACTGTGGGAGGCAGGTGTGAACTCCTCGCCCAGGCAGCAAGCCCTCTGTGGTGTGGCCGCAACCCACTTTTTCTGGCTTCTCTCCCAGGCCTCTCTGTTGTTTGATACCTGCTTCCCAGAGAGCAGCTGCTCATAGTCCTGCAGCCAGGTTCCACCCGATGCATCTGCAGCTGTGATCACTCTCACACCCAAGAGCAGCTGTCTCAGGCCCACTCGGGTCTCCTGGTAAGAAGCACCACGTGGTCCCTTCCTCCATGGGGGCCGTGTTTTGGATGTCACAGATCCCTCCCCTCGCTGGGCCTGCTCAGGATGCCCACAGTTCTCTAGGAGAGGTAGCTGGCTGAGAGCTAGGGACCTGGGGTCTCAGATAGGGTCTCCTCACTTAGAGGCTGTCTGCTGCTGGAACACAGAATCTCATTCACAACCACACAAGACAGGGCTCTGCTCTCTCTGGTATGTGGGGAAGGTCAGGGAGGCTGGGGTGTTGCTCTGGATTTCTGGCTTGGCTACCAATTCCCTGGTCCCCTCCCCAGCTCTCCACCCACCCACTTATCCACTCTTCACCCTCCCTCCTTCCACCCAGCACGTGGCTGGGATCCAAAAGACCTGGAGGAAAATAGGTCACAGGGAGGTGCCACCTGGATTGTTCCCTCGGGACAGGGCTCAGCCCTGAGAGGGCAGCATGCATTAGGCCACAGAGAGCAGGGCTGAAAATCTAATTTGAGAAGGGGAATGCAGGACTCAGGAGGCATCCAGAGACCACCGCTTCTCCGCTTCCCCTATTGCCTTCTTCCGTTCCCCCGCTCTCTTCTCTAGGCCTCACTTTTCTAGAAAGAGATCTCCCCCAATCCCACACCAGAAGTCCTTCCCTCCAAGTGCCCTGGGGTTCATGGAGCTAATTTCAGTTACGATGCTTGGCTGCCCAGGAAAGGGGCCTTGGTAAGCCCTGGGGATTCGGGGCTGAGCCAGGTTCCCAGGAGCATCACAGCTGGAATCGGAGGGAAGAAGAGTCAGGGAGGAGCAGCTGATCCTGGCTCAGATCAGCTTCAGAAAGTCCAGGGACTTCACCCCGGCCTTCTGTCTCTCCCTCAGGAGCTGTCCAGATGGGAACTTTGAGAGGCTCATTCCACCCTGGAGGATGGAAAATGGTCCTTCACACCCCCATCAAGAGGACCCAGATCCCTGCATGTCTGAGCCTCTGACCTTGCACCAATCTTCCTGGGCCACAGTCTGGAGCATGCAGACCGTCCTCCCCAGAGAACAGGCTCTCCTGATGCGCTTGGTGGGAAGGCCTGAGATTTGGAACAAACTGGCTCCTCTGTGGAGACTTTTGTCCACTGAGCTTCTCCCTTTGAGTTGGGGGCTTTCAGATTCCCAGCCCTGCTGCATTCCAGGAAAAGAAACAGGAATTTGGAAGCAAATAAGAGGTGGACCCCTAAAAGAGATGCACACCCCATTTCCAGATCTGGGAATGTCCTCCCCCTCCATCAGGTCGCTCTAGTTTCAGGCTCTATTCCAAGTCCCTCCAGGAAGAAGCTGACCTCACTGCCTCCCCCATCCTCCAGCACGCCCTTTTGCTGCCCCACACAGGTCAACACTTGTCTCCTGGCCTTGCTTTCTGCTTCCAAGTTCTCGCTCCCAGACAGCTGCAAGAAACTGTTAGCCCAGCAGATACTTTCCTGTTGATCATAACCATAATTTCCCAATCCCCAATCAAGACAGCTCACATATAACGTTAGAGCCACTGTGGGGTATAGGGGCAATTTGTATGCTAAAATACTACAGAAAGAAATCATTAGAGGAATTATGTCCATTCAAAATGATGAGAGTAATTCTGTAGGGAATAAGTCAAATATTTTATGCTGAGACTGTCTTAGAAAATCCAAGACATGCCGTCACTGTGGATATATTCTTATACCTCCAGCTGGGCCCTCAGTAGACACTTGAATCTCCCTTGTCTCTGACACTGACTCCCTGCACTCCCCACCCTCTCATATCCCACTCATCCTCAATCAACACATTACGTGGTTTTCTCCGGAATCAATCTTTATTGGTGTTTGCAGCAATTGAATTATTGGCACAAGGCACAGTGGATTTCAAAGCAAATGACAGAAAGAAAATACCATTGTCCCGGTGGAAAGGCTGTTCAGGGAGGTGTCCCAGAGCGACTGTGACCCTGACCAAGACCCTGCACTCAGGACCCAGCCCAGCTGAGCAGGCTTTGAGGACCAGCGAGTAAGCAAGCCATACCTCAGGGGATCTGAGGGGTCCCACCGTTCTTTCAAAGACAAACATTTTAGCTTCCTTGGGAGCTCTTCCAGCCGTTGAGTTTTTGCATCAGTAGCAGCTTGATGACCATGGGGACCCTGTCCCTCTAAAGCCAGCCTGCTCTCCCTCACCTGTGCCTGTTCAGTGGAAGCCTCCCCAACCAGGGGCAGATTAAGGCCCCTGCAGAGGGAGGCGGGGGGAAGGGCAAGAGTTGATACAGTGGATTGGCCAAACCCAGTGACCCCCCTGAGGATATGTGCCCCCCCCCCAGTGGGTCTTCCCACCAATATTTAGGAGGGTAAAGAAAAGGAGGCTTCTCAGTGGGAGAGCTCTTGCCGCTCTTCTGAGGAGGGTTCCTCCTCTATGAGCTCCAGGTCAAACTCATCTTCCAGCGACCCTCCCACAGGCAGCAGGCGGAACTTCTTCCCTTTCAGGGTGCAGGTGCGGTGCTCAAAGTCCAGGACAGCGTTGTGGTCCTGGAGCACATCGGTGCCGATGATGGCTTCCTCAGCACTGGCGTTGGCCACTAGGAACTGTGCCTTCAGTTTCAGCTTGCCTAGGGACACCGCTGTATCCCAGACACCCAGGATCTTCATTTCGGCACCGTTGGCCACCTTCACCACGTTCTCAAAGGGCCGCAGGGTGTCCAGATCGCCATCGGTGACCTCCTCCCACAAGCTCGGGTGGACCACAGAGACCTGGGCCCCAGAGTCCACCAGGAACCTCACAGGAACTTTGCCAATCTTCCCCTTGAGATAGTAGCCCTTACCCATGCTGTAGGCAAAGACGATCTCTTTGGGCAGGTGGCTGGGGGCGGCCCCAGGGAGCCCGAAGGCCTTCAAGAGGGTCTCTTTCACAATCTCATAGTCCCCTTGGTCCTGGGGACCGAGCCCATTGTAGACATCCAGGGCCTTTCCTCTGAGGGACTCTTTCAGGAACCTTAGCTTGGTGATATGGTCCCAATGGTTGAGGTCGTTGATGACTTCAAAGCGTCGCAGCCAGAGGTTTGGGACGATATTGGCTCCATCGAAAGGTTCTGGGATGAAGGCATGCTGCCGGCGGCCTTCCTCACTCCTGGCTCCACTCCCAGCCATCCCGCTGCTCTCCTCTGGAACTTCAGCAGCAACCCACGCCAAGAAGAGAAAGCCACAGAGCAGTGTCGGCGCAATCACGCTGGAAAACAGGGCCTCTCGAAGCAGAGTGGAGCTGACTTGCCCGGCCTTGGGCAAGCAGGAGGGAGCAGGCGCCTTGGGGCAGAGGCAGGCAGTGCTGTGGGCTGCTCACGGCTGGGGCAGAGGCAGGCAGTGCTGTGGGCTGCTCGGGCTCTGCAGAGCCTTTTTGATGCTGGCTCCTGGGCTCCCTATTCTCCTTTGTTCTGGAAGCTCCGCCCCTCCTCGCCCCACCCTCCTGCCAACATCCAGCCCGGACTAGCAGGATGAGTGCCTCACCCTCAGCATCCATCCTCGGACCAACACCAGCCAGCCCACATCCCAAGAAAGGCCGGCCTCTGCTGAAGGGGGACTACTCCATACCCTCCCCTGCCTGTGTCCGAGAATAACAGATGAGGACACAGAGGATGTGATGACATTCAGGTATTTGTCATCAGCCAGAGAAGGAAGGGGGAGGCAGGGACCAGATGCCCATCAGCTCTGAGACTGGGGAAGCCCCTGTTGGCCTGCCCCACAGGTGGCCACTTTGAGTGGTCAGAGGAAAGGAGTTTACATGTGCTGAGCTGAGCTCCCACCACGTGTCAGGCACTGGGAAGTGTCTCTCACACGTTCTCAATCAGGTATGGGGTCCTATGGGATTTCCTGGAGAGGGAGGCAGAGGAGGGTCCTAGAATCAAGAATGCGCAGAAATGGTCTTTTTTAAGTGAGTGAGGACACGCGTGTGAGCGCACGCACGCACACACACAAACACGCACATGCACAATCATTTTACAAGGGCTCAATTGCTGCAGTAATTTTCCATCATTGATCACCCCTGATGCAGAGGGAGGGGGCTAGCTGCCCTACTCTGGGAGGGCCCATCCTGGGTTCCGCGAGCATTGTCTCCAGCCTGTCCAGCCCCTCTCCATTTCCAGGAACCTTTCCAAGGCCCCTTCCCCCAGGTGCTGCAGCCTTTCCTCTCCCACTCCCCAACCTGGTCATTTATGGAAAGATCATGGCAGAATTTCTCTCCCTTTTCATTCTGAGAGGGAAAATGTCCACCATGTTGGTGATGCCGGTAGTGGGGGCCTGGAGGGCTCTGACTGGGTGCCCCTGCACTGGGAGGTAAAGGGTAGTGCTGGAGGACCTGCAGGCATCTACAGAGATCTGTGAGTCCCACGGCTGGAGGCCTGCCTTGGGGCGGTGCAGGGGCTATTGAAGGGATCCGCTTTTACGGCCCCATTCAAATGTTACTCCATGGAGCCTTCTGCCTGTCCCTAGCAAGAGCACCCACTCTGGGTTAAGCGTGTTTCGCAGTGTGCTCTTGTGGTTTCTTCACGAGTCTACCTCCTGCTATGAACCAGAGTCTGGGGCTCACAAACCTGGCATTTGTGATCATCTGCAGCCCCCAGAACAACTTCCTCTGGGACCCAAGGGCTCTCTGCTGAGCTCCAGGCCTGGCCGTGTGCTGTCACCAAAGAGGATTGATTAAGAATGGGAAAGGAGGAAGACTCGATGGCACACCTGTGGCTCTGAGGCTGTTTTTCCTGGCCGAGAGCCTGTCCCTTTCCAGCACCCTATGCCATACATTACCCAGTGCCTGGTGGAATCCTAGCAGTACCCCGCCTTTGGACAGTCCTGTCTCTGGATGGCCCAGGTCCCCAACCACACTGCAAGACTGTGCTGTCTCCAGCCCCTTCCACCTGATTCGATGAGCCAGCGGACAGGTAGTTGGGTCAACACCTCTCATCGCAGCTGCCTGGCTAAGGTGGGGCCATTGTGGCATTCCAGAACCCCAGAGGAGGGAGAAATGGAGTCACTGAGAAGGTGTTGAGAGCAGGTGGTTCTTTGAGAAGATTGCATCATGAAAAACGTGCATGCAGAGACATGGCCCAGCCACACGCAAGACCAGGAAGCCCCTTCTGCAGATGGCTTCCCAGTTGCTGGGATGAGTGTTGTTCTGTGGCTCAAATAACTGACCTAGTGGTTTCCTGATTCCCTGGCATTCATTCCCTCCGCATATCTGGTCCCCTGGAAGTGGAAATGAATGAGGAGGCTAGCATGTGATCAAGGGAGTAGAGGGGCAGGGTGGCTTGTCAGCTGACACGCCGGGACTGCCAGATGCCCCGGACTGGCTTTTCAAACCGTAGTGGTAGATGCTGAATTCTACTCTCCCCACTGCCCTTAGACTAGAAATTGGTGGTCCCTTGGGACTTCATTTGAGTGGGTTTGGTGTTCTCTTTGGCAAAGTCATTTCACACGCATCACCTCTGTGCGCAGCATGACGAGCTGGGAAGCAGACCCGCTCCGCTCCAGGATTCTGCAGCACAGGAGCCTCAGTGGCCTCAGGTCCCAGGCTTTCCAGTGGCCAGAGAAGGGCGTTTTGCAAAGACAGGGAGGTGAGGTGCTGGGCTGGGAGAGGTACAGCATAGACACTGGAGGCAGGGGTCTTGGTGGGCAGTGGAGAAAGCTGCTTGTTAAATATTCAGGAATTTGGTGAGCCAATTGTTAAACCAATTGGTACTTGAAATCAGACTTGACCGAAGTATTTACACCACTAAAATTGGCAAATGCTAAATCAAGACTTTTCCCCCTCAGGAATGCCAGTTCCATCACACTCCCTGCATGGAAGCCTTGGTCACGCTGACTCTCTTTAGGGCAGGCAAAGCACCGTGGCCAGTGATGAACAAGTTTATAGTAACCTCCACCCTGCTCAGCCACTAGGGCCCAGATCACCTCTCACCAAGGAGCCTGAGCCCACCTTTGTCCCAACCTTCTCCACAATCTTTAGACTTCTGTACTGCTGTGGCTCGAGGCAGATGGCCCTTCAGGCTGTGTCTTCCACACAGTTCCCTCTGGGACCTCTGCAACAGAAGCACGCACTGGCCTCATGGTTACCATGAGGGCTGGAAGGGGTCAGCGTCAGCCTCTGGCTGAGTCTGGGAGTCTGTCTCTTGCTAGGATCAGGACCATGGGTGGAGGTCAGTTCTCAATTTCCCTTAACCCTTGGGAGATACCCATCCCTGGAACAGCCTGGCAGTATGCAGAGAGAGACCGTGGAATGGCTGTGCTGGGGATGCCCCACGAGCTAAACCAGCCAGGGCAGGCCAGGTGCCACCACCTCCTCCCAGAACCTAGGAAATCGTGGTTAATTATTGATAAGTATAGGTATTGGGGCGGGACACTGTCATTATCATCCATTAGTGTCTCCTGGGTGTACCCTGAAGCAGGCACTTCGGACTTAACCCTGGAGGAGCAAATAGGCCAGTAAACAGGAAGGAGTGGGCCCGCCACCCTCCACGCCCCCTCACTCAGATTTCTGGGCTGTGAGCTCCACCAGCCCAATTCCTTCTCAGCTCCCTGGTTCCCCTTTGCCGTTCTTTTCTGCTGTGTTTGTGTGTGTGTGTGTGTGTGTGTGTGTGTGTGTGTGTGTGTGTGTGTGTGTGTTTTAATTGTTTAACTTCTGATATTCACTTGGATCTTTTGCTTGGTTTTATCTGCCTCTGGCCAGTTGGGCAAATTGGGAAAAGCCCAGGACTGGGCCCATCAGGCCTCCTGAGGCCCGAAGCCCTTGGTGGGCAGTGAGCTCACCCCAAACACTTTAGACCAGGGCTCCAGTCCTTTGGCTTCCCTGGACAACACCGGAAGAATTGTCTTGGGCCACACATCAAATACACTAACACTAATGATAGCTGGTGAGCTAAAAACAAACAAACAAACAAACAAAAAACTCATAATGTTTTAAGAAAGTTTATGAATTTGTGTTGGGCCGCATTCAAAGTGGGTTGGACACATTTGTTTTAGACGTTTCCTGCAGCCTGATGACTTTCCAGAACACAGCAGCAGCTCACAGAGGAGCCTGAGGCCTTCCAAGTCCTGAGGGTGGAGGGCAGGGCCCACCACGCAGGGTGGAGTGGGGAGCAGACCCCGCCTTCTAGGGAGATCACTTTTTGAGCGAGGAGCCCAGAGCAAGAGACACCTTATGACCTGGGTGCCGCTAGTGAAGCCCAGACCGGAAGAGGAGGGTCAGGGAAAGGTAAGACCAGCACAGCCCTCAGTCGCTCTGCCAGCCCACCTTGGCATTTCCCCACACTGCCAAGATCTGGGAAGCTGGTGGGGAGAGAGCAAGGGGGGACCCAGGGACCTTCCAAGGTGGCATAGGAAGGTTGGAGGGAGACCAGGACGTGCACTCCTCCGTGGGCATGAGACCCATCTTGCGCTCAGAAAGGCCCCCGCTTGGTTTGATGCTCTGCTGTTGCTGTCTTGGAATTCCCGGTAATTTTGAGTGAAGGCCCCATGTTTTTATTTTACATGGGGATCCCAAAAATTCAGTAGCTGGCTCTGTCCCCACCCAATCTGGTGGTGGGGTCTTCTCTTCATACACATGCACGTACACACAGACACACACGCTCCCTGCTTCACACCATGTACACATTGTCCATCCACCAAAGCACACTCCTCCACACTGTACACACATCCTGTACCTATAAAACACACACGGTCCCACAGTCACACTACAGTGCCCAGTGCAAAACAGCTGAGCAATTGTGCAACCTGCACATAAAATTCAGATCCCACCTTTCATTTCACATGTTTATTTCACCCACATTTACACCGAGCATTAAAATCCTATTTATTGGAGGCACCTGCTGTTTATTAGCCTCTGGGCACACTTGCTGCTTCAGAAGACTAGGCAGGTCCTCATGGCCACCGCTTACAAGCTAATGAAAAGACGATCTAGATGTTTAACAGCCAAGTTTTGAAGAGTTTAAGACCAATGTATATATGCAGGCTGACCCACTTAAAGCAGCCCCCGTCACAACCACACTGCTTTGAAAGGAGCCGGTCTCTAAGTGGGTCAGCCTGCCTCCTGCTCCCTGCCACCTGGTGAGGGCAAGGACCGAAGCCTCTATCCCCTGACTCCCCCTACCTGCTACCTCTGGGCATGGCCACCAAGACCAAGGCCCCCCCACCATTTGCCCACCCCTCTCCTGCACGACTGGGCCCCCCAGCCCATATGGAGCCCCCGTCCCAGAGTTGATGTGAGTGTGTGTGGGGTTGGTGACACAGCTCCTTGGAGCACCGCCCCGGCTGCATTCTGCTTCCAGCATTCCGCGTCAGTAGGCTTATGGCACCTGTCTTCAAACTGAAAAGAGACATGAAGAGGTGAATTTGGCACAAAAATCTGGTCAGGAATTCAGATCAAAGCCAGGTGGGCTTTGACCAAAGCAAGGTACACTCGGAAATCCAAGGCACCTGCAGATTCCTCATCCCCAAACCTAAAGCCCCAGACCACGCATGCCTGCTCCTACCACGCAGGCACCACCCAGCATTCGCAGTCATGGCCAAGGGCGCATGGGCAGGACAGCTTGACCTTGACTGGACCGCCATCTTGGTCCCTACCAGACCTCCTCAACATGAACATTCCTGCCTCACGCCTCACCCCACAGGCTAGTGTCACCACTGAGGGACAGAGCTCCCCTGCCTTCAGGGCCCTTTCCCCAGCTCACCACTGTTCCAGAACTACTTCTTCCCGTTTGGGTCTCCCTCCTACCCTCCTTCGCCCCTAGTTCAGAACCCTTCTAACCGGAAGTGGCCCAGTGCAGCCCACCAGCCAAATCCAGTATGTCAGCAGGCAGCAAAACGCTTAATGCAAGTCCCAACCCTGGGGGATCCTGGAGGTGTTTGGGGAGCAGTGGTCCTGGCCCCCATGCCATTGTGAGCCTCCAGGCCTGGGGCCAAGGCCAGGACCAACCGAGCGTTGGTCAGAGCAAGCTGCTGACTAGCTCCTAGAAGTCCAATTTGCCAAAACCAGTTCTCTCCTGTTTTTATCTTTCAATCAAATATGAAGATTACTAAGATGTCCTGAAGGCCTTCTCAGTCGCTTCCTCCGAATTGGGTTCCTGCCTTTTCCCCAATTGCTGGTGTCCCCACCCTAGACCAGGCCCTCATCCCTTCCTGCCCCATCCCTGCCACGGAGGCCCAGGGCCCCTCTTCAGGGTCCCCTCCACTTAACTGACGTTGGGAGTGGGACTTGTAACACAGGTTCAGATAGTTTTGGAGACATTAAGCCACTTTTGACAAACGCCCCTGTCATTAGTGAAATATTCAGGCAACCAAAACATACAGATTGGGTCATCTCCAACTACAAGTGGGCTTCTAATGCCACCAGGCACCTTGGCTTAGAGCGGACCACACGGAGGGCTTCTGCCCAACTGAAGCCCAGATTTGGCTTGAGCCCAGATTTTCATAGCCATCCAAACCGGGGGCAGTCTAGCTGTTAACTCTCATGCGAGCCAGCCCAGGAATTTACAGTCCTCTTATGGAGGGCTCAAGAGCTATTCTCATTGGGCCACGCCCTCATGTTCACAGCTGTCCTTATTGGGCTGAGTCCAGATTTTCATAGCCATCCAAACCGGGGACAGCCTAGCTGTTAACTGTCGTGCGTGTAGGGTCCCAGACCGAGTGTAAATAGCGGTCCTCTTAGTGTCCAGCTCAGGTGTTCGCAGCCTCCTTCGGGATCTGCTGGGTGCCACTGGCTGCTTCCAGATGACTTGGGCTGCACTGGGGGATACCTCAAAGGCAGCTTTGAACTAATCTGGAAATAGTTGAAATTGTCTCTAATGATAACTACTATTGTGAGCGATGAAAACCTATCAAAAATCCTCAGCGCAGGGAGTTGCTTCTCTTCAATCAATTGCCAACCTAGCTTTACTCCTAACACACAGGAGATGGGGGGCGGTGGCAGAGAAGGGATACCTTCCCTCTGGCATGTCAGAGTGATCCGGAAGACGTAGGAGCGACAGGAGAGGGAGAAAGGGAACAGCAGAGCCCATACATGTACAGAAATCTCCAGGTCGCTGGGCAAGCCATCCACACTCATTTATTCAGCAGCTACTGTGTGCCAGACATTGTGCTCGTGGCTGTAAATTAGTGTCAGGCACTCAGAAAGTTCAGAGCATAGACAGGAATGGACAATGCCGAATATGTGGGTTGATTCAATTCCATACATACTTACTGAGGCCAACTCT